TTATAAAAGTTAAGAGTCAACCACGCCTACCTAAAACGGCTCTTTCTAACACGCCACCATGTCTACGTCACGATGTGGGAAGATTTGCATAACGCCGCCCAAATGTTCACGCAAAGAAGGAAGGCGTAACTTTTATTCTCGCTGTAGTATTGTTGCTGCCGCCATGTCGTGAAGGTGCTGTGTGTTTCGTTGTGAAAGCGAAAGTACCTTTTTTGGCCTTTCAAAAGAGGACGATATCATGCCTCCGTCATCTTCTTGATAGGTGAGTTACATTCATTTTTACGTTGAATTACCATAGTAACACACATTGCTTTCACTTATTGATGACATCATACCCTCGGCCGGCAGGCATAGCAGATTCCGCCATCGTCGCTGCCAGGGTTGTGTTCGTACGTGTGGGGCGGAGTTAACAAAATAGGGGAGGTCTTGTTGGGGTATGGGTGTGTTTGTTTTGGTGATTTTAAATGTCAACATAGTTTAGCAAAAATCGCTTAGTGCACCTTTAAATAAAATAACGTGTTGAAGAGAGGTGTACAGTTACATTAAGTGATCTAACTTGAAATTTTACCCTGAAAACAAACTAAAGCAAAACATAAAGCAAAGCAAAAAATAAAAAAAAATAAAAAACAAACAAACCAAGCACCACAAAACAATAAAAAACACACAACACCCCCCCCCCCCAAAAAAAACCCCCCAAAGCAAAGAAAAAACAAAACAAATAAAACAAAATGTGAAAAATTCCCATATACAAGCCCAAGGTTTATACCTGAATATGGTAGTGGTACAAGCTCCACCCAGAAAAAACTAGAAACTGCATAGCAACACTCCAACACCACACCACTCCTTTTAGTATCGAGCTGTAATAAATAATAATTTCAGAATAAATAAATAATTAAATATATATGAAATAGACATGAAAGCTTTGCTGAAAGGTGACACTAAGATGACATTTTCTGTGACACTAGTGCGATATATCTATAAGTAAATATGCTATATACATATTTACACACACGTACACACACTCACACACAGACACACGCGCGTGCACATACGCACACGCACGCACACACACACACACACACACTCATAGATATACAGATATACACATATAAATATATATACGCCCTTCACCTTTCAGCAAAGCTTATATTTAAGCTCACCTTTATCTACATCCAAGCATTATTAATCAACTATTTATTTGAACACATTCTATCCTTTTCTTCTGATATGAATCACTGTTATGATGCTTTCAAACAGTATATCCCTATGCTACTTAGTTGCTTTAGTTACAGTTGCTTTAATATTGACTAAGATGTGTTTGCAGAAAGATCATAAATCAACAGTCTCTCATGGCTGCTGCTGCAACCATTATGTGCTTGGATGAACGTCAGTTTTGATATTTTTAAAGGACCGTAAATATGCATGTAGCGCCCTATATACGTGAGAATCGGTTGACAGAGAGTGTGAGAAGCAACCGAGGGGAAAAATGGCCCATATGTGTCCAACAGTATCAACACCTGGAGTTATAGCAGGTAAAGCATCTGAGAGAAATAAGCCATACTTCCCAAGTGAAGGAACACAGTTTCAGCCGTCAATAACAGGACAAACATATTGATTCCTCCATTAAGCAGCTTCCCATGATACCCTGAGGTTAAGGCTTTTCCACCCCTGCTCTTCTGTACAGCAGAATAACCTCATTTAGACAACAGAAACCGACAGTTTCAGCCTCTGCGGCTAGTTTAAGTTGTAGGCCTGGTTTAGGGAGTGAATATTTGATGCACAGATTTTACCACCTCCGTGCTGCGGGTACTCAAAAGTGGTTTTCATCAACCGAGTCAGGCTGGAGGTGAAGAGACATTAATATATAAAAAAAGACAGAGTGAGAAAAGAGAGTGCTCCTGGCAATCACAGTAATTCCAGACGTGCTCTGCACACATATTATCAATCCTTTCATTGATCAATCACTCTGGCCCAATGCTCCGCTGAACTGCTGCCAATCCAGATGAGTTCCAGCATACGGCCCGCCTAAAATGAGCTCCACACACACTCCACTTCTTTCCTCCACTTGCTGACTGACTCGCTCACTCACACAAACAGCTGGAGACTCTGTTTACCCACCAGAGTTCAATATTATCGAAGCACCCATGTTCCCCTGCTCATCTTTAAAAACAGGGCACCTCTCTGTATTTCTTTTTCTGTATCACCTTTTATCCCATGCACGTGGTGCAAATTAACCCTTTGCCACTCCTGCCAATGCAGTGTGAATTGAAAACCCCTACCAGCTATAAATGTTTCTTTTGTCCACTCAGCTGCATTTTGATTTTGATTCAGTTTCCGAAAAAAATTACTAATCAGTACAGTAATTTCAACATCGATAATGAACATAATATATGTTTCTTGAGCAGAAAATCATTATATTAGAATGGTTTCTGAAGGATCATGTGACACTGAAGACTGGAGTAATGGCTGCTGAAAATACAGTTTTGACATTACAGGAATAAATTAAATTTTAAAATGTATTATAATAGAAAACAGGTATTTAAAATGGCAGTAGAGTTTTACAGTTTTTTTCATGTTTTTACTCTATTTTTGATTAAATAAATGCTTTGGTTAAAAATTAAAACAATCTTACGACCCCAAAGGCCAAGGGTTAATTTTGGATGCTGCACCACCGGATTAGATGTTGGCAAAAGACGGTAGCTAACCTAACTTCCATCTCTCACCTCAACCTCTCTACCCAGGAGAAACACTGAAACAGCCATTATCTATGGCCGCTGATCCCATTTGAGCGAGAGCAATATGAACCCTGATAGCCACACTGTCAATTTCATTAGCACAATAGCAGGGAGGCTAGTGCCCATTAAAGCCCTGCCGTGGAGCCTAGCATGGAGATTAGCATGGAGCCAAACTTCAACTGCATTAACACACCGGGACAGTGTGATCTTTAGTGCGTTTCTCAATGGAGGCTGGAGTTCACTGGTAGGCTGGAGCTCTCATTCCTCAGGACTGATCATTTCCTGCTAGACAGCATGCGAGGTGGCTAATTAGAGCTCTTTGAAGGCTTTGTACAGCATGTTCCACCGAATCACATAATCATGGCTCACGCTGGCCAGGCCAACTGCCACAGAGCCCGTTTAATGATGGGCCACATTTCACATATTAGTTATCATTCATGGAAATAAACTGATTGGAATATACGTATATGATGAACAGAAAACACAAAACTCAAATTCTCCACACCATAGAAGATCTATCCATGCGGGGGTTCATGAATATGGAAACATTGGGATAATATGGGGATAATTATTGTTTTTGGCATGCATCAAAAATGCTTGAATTTAAAAAATAAAATGTGTGAGCAAGTGGAAGGGTGTTAATATAGTATCTTAAATCACTAAGTATAAGTATAGTAAACACTTCTGTGTAGTAAATCCAACTTGTGAGGATGGTCCAAATTAGACTAAGTTAAAGAGTAAAAACTTATAAAAGAGCCAAATAATAACTAACCAAAAGTTTTGTAAAGATAAGTTTTCAATAAATAAGTAAACAAATAAACAAAACTTCTTGCAATGTGCAGTATTTAATTTTTTTTTTTAGGTTGAATATTTATATATTAAATAGTTTTTTATTTATTTTTTCATCTAGAAACAGACTAATGTAACTTTTTTTTACAGATTAATATTTGAATTTTTGCTTTAGCACAATGACAATAAGCACTTTTATTAAAACAAATATATTTGATTTTAAATTATTTAGATAAAACCAGATCAAAAAATGGGGCATTTATACTTATAAGCGCCAGCGGGTCAAATTTACCCGCTATATAATGCATGCATTTTCGCGCTGTCATTTTCTTGCCGCTTATGTTTTTATATTTTACATTTCTAGGCAACGCCTTTCACTCACTGATTTAGCGGTTATCAGTTTCATAAATAAAGTCAAAATGACTAAAAAAGGTGATTTATGGAAGGTAGGTATTAGAAACACTAAATGCCATGAGTGATGGAGAGTTTGATGGTAAGTTATGTGTCCTGGGTCGGCTCAGCATCTGACGGCTCATCTGACAGTGATCCAGATATCATATTTGCATGTTTTAGCCTAACGTTACTCTAATTGGTCAAACTTTGGTTTGATTTTTTAATTTTTGTCTTGCCACATCGTTTATTATTCGCTACTATGTTGCCATTCTAGTCTGGCCGCTTCCTGAAGAAAAAAAAAATCTGATCTATATGATGTAATGAATAAAACCATTTTTTTGATTACCCAAAGTTTAATGGTGTTGTTCTCTTATTCAAATTATAAATGATATAACTAAACAAATTAATAAATATTTAGGTGAAGCTGTGCGCTTGAATTTGTCATCGCATCATCCTATGCAGTGTGGTGAATTATTATTGCTCATTATTGTCTATAGGCTGTTTTAGTTATTTAAATAGCATGGGTTATCTTAATGTATTGATTAGTTACATTGTATTATAATATTACATCACCCAAATATTTAGGCTACTACCTTCTAATTGCCGTTGTCAGTTCAGGGTTTTTTTTTCTTTCGTTTTTTTTAAGCTTAGGCTACTGACCATTATGGATTAGTGTAGCTTGCATTAAAAAGTCTTGAACATAAAACAACAGGATAAAAATATAGTTGATGACTAGACATAATCATTGCATGACTCTGGACACTTCTTTGTGAAGACAGTGGCATAATACAATGAAATAATATGTTCTGTAGCCATATAAATACAGCTGTCATGTGAGTGGGTAAAATTTACCCGCTGGCGCTTTTAGGTATACAGCGACCTTTGGCAGTTCTAGTGTTAAATTCATTGTAAGAGCAACCAAACATTATTCTAGAAGACTTCTTTTGTGTGCCACAGTGAAAAAAGAGAGTTTGGAAAGACATAAGGATGATTTTTAGTGAATTTTCCCTTTAATTTAAGAACAACAGTCAGGAGGTCCTCACAAGTATAGATGTACTGATTTTTGCATGTGACTAGACTTACCACAGGGACCTCTGCGCATCACCTTGATGCGTCTCTGTGTATTGCACTGGGCCTTCTCCAGCTCACACTCATTGGAGTAAGTAGAGGAGTCAGAACCACACACCGGCGCCACTACAGACGTACATACAATTTTCTTACAAACACACTCTCCTTTAGAGGGGTCAGTGGTGTCTCTCTCACACACCGCTCCAAATCCACACAGCTTTCCTCTGCAACCTGCAAAGAGACACAGACATAAGAATCAATTTTAGAAAGCCACAATCATATGACAAGTACAGAGTTCTAGAACACCACAGACATATGAGGATGGAACAAAAGATCCTTGTAAAAAAGCTCATACAAAGTAGCGTTCATGACCTTTAGAACTCCTGTCTGAAGAGACGTACATCATTATTATCATTGCTTTCTTTTATTATTTTGCTTCCTTTTTTTGTTACTTGTCTCAACACAAGCACTCTGTTAGGAAGATCTGGTTTTAGACATTTCATTCAAAAATGGAAATTGACATAATTTAACATTCTAAACCTGCATGACATTCTTTTGCAGAACACAGAATGTAAACTTTCAAGCTTCAAAATGGACACAAAAGCACTATAAAAGTGGGCCATACCACTCAAGCAGTATATTCCAAGTCTTCTGAAGCCATATGACCATATAAACAGACTAGAATTTTACTCATTATTCACTAAAAGCATTGACCTTCTCCCTAGTTCTATTCTTGTACTTTCTCTACTTTGTTTTTTTTTATGAGCATAAAATAAGCATATATAAGTTGATTGATGTATAAGTCACATTTTATCATTTCATTCAGAAATAATGTAAAATAAACTAAACATTTACAAACATTATAAACTTATTTTTGTTCTTCTCACTCCACAACAAATCCAAAACCCAAATACACACTGACTAAGCAAATAAAAACAGCTAATAAATAATATGACAAAAATGTCAAACTATTTCCATGTTTTCCCCACAAAATTACTTTTTATTACCAGGATCTGTCTTTTCATTTAAAAGCACACTTTCTTTCTCCCACTCTCTTTCACAGCATCTTTCTTTCTCCCGTTCTCCCCTAAAAAACGCACACACATACATTACAGAGCACTATGGAACAAACTCACACAAACTTGTCAGTGCTGCTGACCCACGACTTTATAAGTAAAATAGTATTGTAACTGAAAAGCTACATGACATTTCTCAATAATGCTGCTGTTTTTGAAGCAGTTACATTTACAGATTCGCTATTGGTATTGGTATTGGTAGATGATGCTGCTGAATTATGTTGAGAGCCGAACATGCAGTACTATGTTAATTCACACATTTAATCCATCTCTCTCTCTCTCTCTCTCTCTCTCTCTCTCTCTCTCT